TGAATATTTTGATTCGCCTAATTTGATTTAAAATGCCATTTAATGAATATTATCGAAGGGCCCGGCCTGCTTAATACCTCTGCATCTTATTAATGGTTCAATTAAGGCTTAAACCTTGACTTGCAGCCACCATGTTGCATTGCTGATGCAATTTTAGTGACTTAATAAGGCTCAAATGGCCGCTTTCGTTAACTGGCTGAAAATTGCTATGGTCATGGTGCACAGCGGGCTTTTAATGTGTAAACAACTGGCAACATATCAATGAGCAACGGGAGGAGGTTCAGGAGGCGGTGGCGGTGGCGGGATCGGGTCGTAACCAAGCTCGGGGGCAGTCAGGCAAAAATAAAGTGGCCAGAAGCATGGCCCCGTTAAATGAGCAGTTAACACTGCCCGTTATGAACTTTAATATTAATAACCATTTATGCTTATGACAGACAATGAAAGCCGTGCGCAAATTTACTTCCCGCATCCGCAGTCCCCTCTTTCACTGCCCCGCCCTCTTTTCCCGCCCATTTCCCTTGATCCCGTATCCACTTACAGCCCCCGCTTCACCGCTGCCCCGCTCGCTTCTGTTTTCGCTGTTGAACTACAGCCCTAAAATGCTTAGGGGTTGGAGTGGGCGGCTCGCCGGCTCTGCCAGCCAGGCTGCACTATGCATTTAAAAATACTGCAAGTGTGCCAGTTAATATGCAGACCGACACGGGTCTTCATTACAGCCCACAAACACAGACAGGCATACCCTGACACACACCCTAACACACACACACTCGGAACAACAGGGACACCGTCAACAAAATAAAAAACAAAAATGTAAAGCAATTAAAAGCAGCCCAGCAGAACACAACGGAATATACCACATAAAACATGAGCAAGGCATGATTTTGACTTTTTTTCTTGCCAAAGTACTTTCTAGTCTTCAGGCCAAGGATGATGGTTTAAAAAGATGCTATTACCTACTTATATTAAATTATATTAAAAAGTCAATACATTTAATCCAATATGGCATTAATTTAAAAATTATACCATGTTTTTCCTTGATTTATAATGTTTTAAGTTGTATATTAAATTAATTGTCTTCGAAAATGGTCCCCTAAATATTCAATATAATGTATATTTTTACTCACCTTAATTACTAACATTTTAATAGAATCAATATACCTTTTCTCTACCGCCAATTACTGGGCATCTGAATCACTGTGGACTGCCTGCTGGGGGCTACAAGTGGTCATTGGCTGGTTCCTGGTGCTTTTTGCACTCCGGATTTTAGTTGCTCCCGAAAAATGAGAATTTTTTTTTGTTTTTTCGTTTGAGGTTAAAGTGCAAAAATTGTGCAGAACTGGCACACACAATGTGGCATGGCCAGCTAAATATTTACAAGCTCAACGAACACACCCGCAAAACAAAAAGCACAGACAACACCACTCAGACACACGCTCCCACACTTTAGGGGGGCGGTGGAGTTTTATGAAAATGGCCGCTGCTGTACCCGCATGTGGCTGAGTAATTGTTATGCCAAAGTCGCGCTCACAATTTATTTTTGTTAATCAGTAAGCCCCCCGTTCCGGCGGCCACGCCCACTTTGCTGCACACGCGTGGCAAGTGGCAACAATTCGACAATTATGTGGCATTTCCATTGCAGCCTTTGCCACGTTCGTTTTTATTTTAATTAAAAACTTCCCCTTGGTGAGCGAAAAGGATGCAAAAAGCGACGACCAGGTTCCTGGGTTCTCACACCTGCCTGCAGGCTGCCGAGTTCCCCCTAGCTCCAACCATGTGTTAGAATTTTTGATATTTATGGGCCGCGGCTGGAGGTTCTAGCAAAGGGGCCGCGGCCGGGACAGGGACTAGCTTTGGTGGCCAGTGGGAAAGTTACAGTCGGATAAGCATCTGCACCGCTGCAGCTGTTGTGGCTCAGATTTTCGGTGCGTTGGGACGGTTTGGTTCACAATTATGCAAATCGAAAGATCGCCACACAGCGATATCCTAAAATTCCATGCATTTACAATTTTCTAATCAATGGAATTTTAATTTTAATTTCCCGCTCTCGCTCTGCCGGCTGTGGTGTGGTTTGGTTATGGTACGGTGCGGTGCAAATGTATCTTTGCCACTTTTGTGGCCTGAAAATTGTTTAATTTGCTGGTCACTACCAGAAGCATAAATTCAAGGTCTTCTCCTTTTCCGATTAAATGAACGCGATGTATCAATTAATTCAATCTCAGTGTGAAATGTGTCACTCACATGTCGCGACGTCGTTTTGTTGCCTATTTACAGGCGCCGCCGACACGAATGCGAATCGCATATTCATTTTAATTTAATCAGGCTCCGAGGGGAGCGGCTTGTTGGTTCGGACATCGCTCAACCGTAATTAAGTTTCTTTGCAGCGGTCAGGAGCTCTGAGGGGAAAAAAAATCACAAATATAATGGGGAAAATTTAATAAATCAGACAAATATGCGCACCGTATTTTGCAGAGTGGCAAGCCCGTAGTGCGACTAATGCAATAAAAGATGTCCGCAGCACGTTTTTTAATATTTAATTAAATAAATAATTCCCATTTGGTAGTCGAGTCGACATCTCAAATATTTGAATGCGAGAATTTAAATATGAAAATACTTTGCACGCAGCATGCTGAATATTGAAAGCTGAATAGCGGAATTCTCTTTGCATTTCCGGTGGCGGCGGCGACTCGTCAAAAAGTTTCCAGTCATCTGCTGTTGCAACAGGAGTTGCATGCATGAATCATCATGGGTGGCCCCAAAGTTTTCCCTCAGAGTAATTAGAAGACTTAGTCCCCTGCCAAGGGGACTCAGTCAGACTGCTTAAAATGCTCTTTTGGCGTTAAATTTATGACAACCGCACATGCTGTTTGCCAGCTGAAACAATAACAATAACAGCCCGCCAGGCTCTGGCCAAAGGCATGCAACAACAAAGGTCCTACACCGTTGGATGGTAGGGAGGAGATCGCAGGAGGGGGCGATGCCAGAATGCTCGTTAGAAAGTTTCTAAGGTTGCGGCCGCACACGAAACAGCTGCGCCGCCAAAAGGAAAGGATTCTCCAAATTGTTGCACGCTTTCCTTCGCTTCAGGGCGGTCACATTGTTGCTAAGCTATACGAAAAAACACTAGAAAAAATTAAAGATTTTTAAACAGACAACTTAACCTTAACCTAATACTTACCCTATAAATAATATTGCGATTTTGAGCTTCATTACGGTTAAAAAAATGTCACTAATGCAATAATTTACATTAAGCTCTGACAAAAAGTTTTAAAATTTTTTAAAGAGAATATTTGATATTAAAGAACAATATTTGTTATCTTTTTCTTTATTCAGTTTTGTCAGTGCACTTACAGTGTGCTGCTGTTGGCCGATAAGCTACGCAGACTCAAACTCAAACTTAAACTCAAACGCATACTCATTCGCCGTGTGGTGCACTGACGTGACCTCCAGTGGTGCAGCAAGTGCTCGAAAGTGGGCGTGGCAGCGAAATTTCTAGCTCCAAAGTGAATTTATTGTTTTGCCCATTACCACTTAGCGAACCCTTGCTGCAGCATGCCCCAAAAGTTGGCCCAAAGAGCCGTTTATTTTGACGCAAGCCAGCAACTTCAACTTTCTGCTCTACCAGCTCGACCAAGGATGCAAATTGGAAGCTCACAATACGTTACCATCTGAAGTCCTGTTTATCCAAGGAAAATTGTACTCGATAATGAGGGCTTCAAATTAATTAAATAACCAATGGATCGCTACCATCGCCATCACGTTTCAAATTATTCAGAAGGAGGAAGAACTGGTACACTTGTCGCGGCTTTTGCTCCGATTTCTTTCCATCTCCACAGCGCGAAATTAATTGCAGCGCACCGCCGCGTTTCACGTGGAGAAGCACTTGTTACGGTTGCCATTAGCGGTGCCATCATCGGCCCTCGAAATAGCTGTAATTTCCAATAGATAATGAAATGCAATTAGAAAGTGTGCGGCTTACATATACACACCTCTGAGTCGGAAAAAACTTGTGCAAAACGCAACAATAACAGCAATTTTAACTGATTTTCCCACCCACTGCTATAAACGTTAGGCTACACTTACAATTTTTTAAGATTACTAAAAACTGATTAAATATTAACTTATTTCTATAAATTCTATTGCTATATTGGCCGCTTAAAAGTGAGTCTGCTTTTAGGCTTTTGCCTTTAAGTTGTCATAATTTACATAATTTTTTCTGGTGCATTGGCTGAGTGTATAATAGCGCATAGAAGTTTGTAATTAAAGTTTGCCGAGGCTTCCAGGTGACGACTACGGCACCACGGGATACGGCCGGCCATCCGCACAATACTGCACCAGCAAATCAATTTCCGCATCGCACTGGCAACCGGACCCGGGCCGGATCCGGTCCACAGGCTATGCTCTCTGGACTTGGACTTGGTCTTCGGCTCCTGCTCCGGCTCCTGCTATGGGCTTTGTCGGAGCGATCAACAATGCAGAAAATAAAATTCAATTAACGCGCTTAAATTAAACTGCCACTTCCTGTTTTGATGACATTTTCATAGCAGCCCGGCCCCGTAGAAGCAGCGGGAGGCCTGCTGCTGGGAAAAGAATGCGGTTGCCGTATGGACGGAGGATCCAAAGGATGCCTGTTGCTGGCGTTGTTTACTCCACCGTCTGACAGGCTTCTTTTAGCGCCTTGCATCAATATTAAATGGTAAATGCCGGACATAATGGCTGTCCAACTGCGGCTGTCATTATAGTTGCTCCTGGGAAGGGATCAGAGACAAGTCCTCTGATAAATAAAGCTCATTACGAGCGCGTCCAACATCCTTTACTGTAATGATTGACCCGCAACTGGGAATGACAGTCATAATAGCCAGAGCACCGTAAAAAAGGGCTATGTTTTTAATCAAAAATAAAGAGTTTGTAAATTAGTAAAAATTCATTTAAATTGTCAGAAAAAAATAACTTATAAGGACATAAAATGGATTTTTATTTTATTAAGTGTCAATGTAGTCGATTTATTTTTTTCCATGTGTCTCTAATGCACGCATCCATCAAATGGACTTCTATTGTCGACCAGACCGAGGTTCATTATCGAGGAGCACAACCCCGAAGCCAAATGACACAAAGTCATTGGACCGTTCAGGAGTGATTAAATTAAAAGTCCTCTTGGTCGAGCTTCTTCCTTCAGCGAGGAATAGTTCTGTCTGCAGTTCACAGAGGGCAGTCAGCTCGGGTGCAACTTGTTTGCATCTTCGTTTGCATCTATTCAATTCCATCGTCATTTCGTTTCCTTACGCGATAAGCAACTTTGGCAAAGCAACTGGCATTTAATTTAATTAGTAACTTGAAAGGGATTGAGTGGGTAGGGGTGTGAGGCGGCACTGATAAGAGAATGCCATTGATTGAGTTGTTGGCGGAGCTCAAAGCAAACGGAAAGCGGATTTATAGCAGCAGTTCTGGTGGAGGTCCGGCTGCTCCTTTTGATGATCATGGGGCTCCAGTTGGCAGGGACATCGGTAGAGCAGCGAGGCGGCCGGCTTAGTTTGGACAACCTGCTTCAGCTGCGTCAAGTCCCCGACTTGGCCGACAGGAGGTATGTCCCCGGGAGATTCATTGACGGGCCGGCTCTTGCCCACAAAGAGCAGGCTATCCGAGAGGGGGCGTGGCTTGCAAATGGTGGATGGGGTAGATGTTGCAGATGCAGTCGAGGATGTGACTGAGTTGTGGCTTCTGTCCGAATTCGATTCCTCGCCATCGTCCTCGTTTGGCTTAACTGCCGCCGTCGTCCGCTGTAAATCATTCGTCGAGAGTGAAAGATGCTCTGGCCCCCTCCCGTCAAGTGCGGAATGCATGGTTGTTGCCGCTGTCTGCTGTCCTTCTGTCAGAGGCGATATGTCCGGGGAAACTGATGGCATCGTTTCACGCGACGACACCCTCAAGCCATCCGTAGAGCTGGTGCGCAGCAAAGTGGCGGCATTCGAGGGCGAGAGATTGTCCATCGAGTAGGCCCGTCCCTCTAGGAGCTTGGTTAGGAACTTGTTTGTGGGCAGCACCGGCTTCCGTTTCCGCCAGGTGTCCTGTCCGGCTGCCACCTGCTGTTGCTGCTGCTGATTCTGATGCTGCAATTGCCCGTGGGCAGGGCGTGTGATCCCTGAAAAAAGTTTGTGGCGCAGCTTATCCTCTGAGCGACACATCTCGAAGGCGTTGGCGACGGTCAGATGGATCTGCTCGGCCAGCAGGGCGCGGCGGGGTGTGTAGAAATCGCGGCAGACAGGACAGCGCTCGGAGCGAATGCGGCAATCGACGCAGAGTAGGTGTCCGTTCTGACATTGCATTGCCGGCGGAGCGATGGTGATGTTGCACACGGGACACTCCACCAGTCGCAGGATGCTCTCCACGACGAGAGAGAGGCGTCGCAGACTTGTGGGCATTGGTGCACAGCAAATGCTCTGAAATGTTTGTTTTATTTACAATTAATTTAATAAATCGTACGAATTTTTTACATTTTTATCACAGTCCTTTTCACAGCCACTGTTCCAACAGAGAATAGTAACGGCGTCCTTTTGGCTTTTCACTATTTTGGCGATTTCAGCCACTCGTAAACCCAAGACATCGTGCCCGTTGACCTGTAATGTTAATGCTCACATTACGTATACGTAATACATTTATTAAGTATACGCACTGGTTAACGAGAAGATAAAACGGCTTGAGACCTTGACATAAAAAAGGTTTTATATTTATAATATTGCTCAGCTGTTAAAACTTAATAGCTTAGTTAAAGACACTTAGAATTAAACAAATAAAAACATAAACATACTCTTTAATTTTTAACTGCTTGCTCACACTGCTTGATTATGTTAATAACAGAACTGTTAAATGCTTGAGGCTAAGAACCGGCTAGTCGCGGCTGCAAGTTTCTTGCCTTTTGGCTTTGTTAGTTTTCAATATTTACTTTGCGTTAATTAATTTGTTCCATATGATATTTACTAGGCTTGCTTATAGTGACTCTTGCATACGCCAGCTGTTTTTCAGAACATGTGTTGTTTCCCGGCAAAATCACTCAATGCATTTAAGTTTTGCTGTTTTGCTCTCACAAGCTAGCAATATTCAAAAAAGAATAACAAATGCAAAGCGATTTCAAAGTTCAGGGCTAAGTATACAGTTCAAGTTTCATAGAATCGTTAATAACAACTGTCAATTCCATTTTCTAATTAAATTATAATATTTAAAATCTTTCTTTTGATCTTTTTTTGTTATCAGATATTTAGTTTAATAAAACAAATTATTATCTATCCAATTTTGATTACTTGATTACAATTTGATTACTTTTCCTACACCCTATTAGTCATTAATATCTTTTTTGGGTCGATGGGGAATTTACCAAAACCCATTTATTTGAAAAGTAACTTTTCCACGCTGATAAGAAATTTAAAAAAAAAAATTCCACTTTCTGTGGGATATCCAATTCTTCTGCTCCGAACAGGTGTACTCTAATTATAGCTGGTTCTTTGAAATTTTTGATTTTGAAATCTAAGCTCATCCCTTTTTGCTAAACCTATTTATAAAAAGTCGGAGGTAATAGTAGAAAGCCTACTGCGTTTCATGTATTTTTCCCATTTGCGGGAACTGCTTGGCGTGTTTTTCTCAGTTACGAGAACTGCCAGCCGACTCCAGTTGCCAGTTGGTAGTGGGCTTGTCTGTGGCAACCTGGTAATTGGACGCGGACTTACCTCCAGAACACAGTCGCCGGGTCTGAGGCCGCAAAGCGCCGCCGGGGTGCCAGCTGCCACCTCGCATACCTGTCGGTGGGTGGAATGGGGATGGGATGGGATATCGCTTTAGCACGAAAGAAACTGAAACAGAAACTATTGTTCTGTTTTGTTTTGGTTTTTTCTTTGTTACCCAGGGATAGGGGTCCCACTTGGTGCGGGTCAGATGGAATCCGTAATTCTCGATGCTGGGGGCGGCACGGGGAATCCTCAGTAACCGCACGGTAGAAGCAGATGAGCTGGAATCGGCACTATCATCACCTTCTTCTCCGCCATCGACGGGCGGTACCCGAAAGCCATTCATTAGTTTTCGACACTGGGCTTGCTTCATTTTGGCTGGAAAAACTCACGTTGCAGACCTCTTTAAAAAACCCGATAAAGAGCGTTAAAATAAAGCGTGTATATCTTGCGGGAGACGTGTTCAACGGGCGCTCTCGCTTGGCAAACTGTTTTTCGTGTGAGTTTTTTTTTAGCCGAGTGAGTGCCGCATGCTCTGTCAGCTGAAAAGTTGCCGAGTGCTTTGGGCCGACGCAATCGGCTACGACAAACATTTTGGCCACAGCTTTTGGTGAGCTCACAGCATCACCTGTATCACAAGCCCCTGGCCCCCGTCCTCTTTGGCCAGTATTTGGCCATCTGCGGCGATGTTGTAAGTCAACGGCGCCAAAATGTTTCTGAGACCAGGGCCAGATTCGCTTCTGATCCGCTGACACCGGTTGAGATGTGTGCCCGCCTTTGGGGATAAGTAAATATTTGATCTTTTGCCTCGTAGCGGGACTTAGATGTTTTTTTGGTGCGCTAACAAATGCAGAATGAGTCATAATTAGCAGTCTAAGAAGATAAGTAAATAGTGAAAAAGCTTATCAGATACTTAGATACTTTGTTGGTACTTCTAAATATTTTTGTGACGTTAATAAAATGAACAACAACCCATGTTTTAGCTACTGGGGGTATAGGCACTCATAACTAAATAGTTTACAAATTTGATCAGAAACCGCCATTTAGCCATAACGTAAATGTAACTTAATCAGTTTAATTCTGTGGTGTTTATACTAAAAGTTTTTCGACTTTGTAATTAAGTTTGAAAATAAATAGCTTTATTTTTCAGCCTAATTGCGTTTGGCCAGCGCCAAATGGCTAAATACATTGTCACCGGTCACCGAGTGTGAACCAGTGAACCAAAATATTATTATTTGAAATACCGAAGAAATTAAAACAACAAACATGACAGTATATGAAGGTGTCAGGCCACGATAAACATACACAATGGGGCCCTAAATAAATAACGAGCCTAAACCAGCTCGTCCATTAACCCTAACAATGATAACTAATGGAAATTGGCAGCTGACAAATGGATTTGGCATTGCTACTTGCACCAAAACCATCGACACGGCAATCGCATTGGCCCATTTGACTTTCGCTTTTTGTTGTATTTTGATTTTTGTTTTAGCTTTTGTAGGTTTTACGTTTTTGTTTTTTGCCTTGTTTGATTGCCATTGAGGAGGTAATTTCTGTTTGGCGCTAAGCGGCCTGGGACATGAAGCATTGCCTCCGCAAATAACATTGAAATTGGTAATTTCATTTAATTTTTGCGCCCTGCCAAGTGACCCTGGTGGCTAGGGGTATGGGTATTGTGTGTGATTTCGCTTCGGCTTTTCAATTGCGAGTTCAATTAGATTTTGTTGAATTTATTTGTGCAATTGGTTGTTAGTGCGGCTGGCGGCGGTTGGAATAAAGTGGCCGACAGAAGCATTCGGCAGCCGAGAGCCGTCAGCATTGTCAAAATTAACAAATACTTACCAAGCCAATAACATTAAATTTCATGTTTCTCGAACGCCCACCCCCTAATCCTCTGAACGGCGCAGAGGCAATTGACTTTTATTAATCGGTTGGCAATTAGGTCTGGCCCAAAGGCAAATGGCCAAATTCAAGTGCAGTCACGCAAGCCGTCATTGACCATTCTTTTGGCTCAGTTTACAAATTGTATTTCATTTGTATATTACCTTAAATATATACATTATATATGTATATTTCTACATTATATGAATGCATATATGTACATATATGCATATATTTTATTAAAATGTATTTTTCAACTTTGAAGTCATTATTATATACATGTATCTTTTTTTCCTTTCTTAGATTATTAAAAAAGGATTTATTAAAACACTAAAAGTCTCAAATAAGATATTATTAATTTTAAACAATAATTTTTATTGGCCTTTCAAAAAACTGTTTAAAAGCTCGCCCTCTTAGACTCAAAGCTTCGACAACAGGCGGCGCTGCTGTTCGGCTCAAAGCCCGGTTTAAGCCAAGTCTGTTGGTCAGCTGTGCAGAAAACGCTTGTCAGTTTCTAACCAGCTCGCAGCCAGTGCGCAAGCGCCGCAAGTTCCGCCAGCAGACGCGAAGTGCGAAGTGCCGGCGCCACGATAAGCCATCAAAATTAAGCCATTTGGCTTGGCTAACGCGCAAAGAGCCGCCCAGCGGAGCGAAGAGTTGTGAAAATTGATTTCCCAGCGAGTCCAAAAACGGTGTGTAATTATTAACAAAGCGTACGAGAAACCTTGGTGTAAACAATATGATTCTCTAATGGGCCATATGACCTTACGATTACCCAAAAAGCCCTGCTGGGCCTGGCCCGAGTTCAGTTTCTTAATGTTGTGTTAGGTCAAGGCAGCTACCGACTTAGATTCCCCTTTCAAAAAATAATAATAACACATTGAAACGCGGAAGTGTAACGCACAATTATAAACGCATTTCGCATAATTAAAGCCGTAAAACAAGTTTGCTTCTATTTGAGTTTTCATTTCCTATTTGCTAAGCAAACAAACGGGTCTAAATTCAATTAGAAACGCGTCGAGATCGGCGCATAAATCATACGCATGCGCAATGCTTGCGCAAAAATTTTGTGAAATTGTGTGTGCGAAATCCAAAATAAACGAGAGTCAAAAATCCACAACAAAATTGTCTGTAACAGCGACTCACGCCCAATTGGGAATTTACACAGTAACACCAGCTCCCAGGCTGCTAATTGTAGTGGCTAAAAAGAGAGGGGCACTGAGGGGGAGACAGAGATGCAGCAACGTCAATGGCGCATGCGCAACAGTTTTGCCGCTTTGGGGTTTCTGGGTCTCTGTATCTGGGCCTGGCTTTGCTGTTTCGCTTGCGGTTTCTTTCGTACGATCGTGTAATTGTGACGCAATATTCGTGCGAGTTTGTTTTAGTTTCGCTCCGCCAGCGCTAGTACACTGAAAACGAAAACGAAAGCACCAAAAAGCCAGTGCAGCGAGCAATGCAATGCTAGGCAGCACATCCAGTTAGTTGCAATTCACACGCGCCTGTGCTCAGTTCGCTTCCGATCAAAGGAAAACTGCGATTTTAAAAGGAAACTTTACGGTAATAATGTGGCAATTAATTAATCGAGTTAGGTCTGCATTGGAGCGTTACTAGAGCCTCTGTTGGGCAATTGTTTCGTCCGGTGCCGCGCTTCATTGACTTTGGCCCGAAACAATTATAATCTCTGTGTTCTGGCTATATCGGTGGCTAGGTGGCTTTATCTTCGTTCGGCTTATGTGGGCGCAGCAATATAAAAATAATTAAATCTGCCTTTTTTTATTGAAAAAGTAAACTGTAATGAAAACACACATAACTGAATAGTGGCCAGACGCGAATGAATCGAGTTTAATTGCTGCCGCGGCCCCAGTTCAACTTATTGTTTAATAATTTATTTGCTTTTGCTGTGCCCACTTCACTTCGTCGACGTCATAGCGACTTCATGGTCAATGTCAGTAAGAAGTGTAGTGAAGTGAAGTGATCTGAACAAGTTTGCCGCACTTGTATCTGTATCTCAGTACCTGTATCCGCGTGCGTAGACAGAGGAAACGATAGATATTCAATCTCTGGCCAAGTAGAAGCTTTATGTCTAGGAAAGAATCACGTTGAGAATCTTCTCAACTGACAGATTCTGACGCAATTTATTTCGATTTCGATTGGTTCTGACACTAGCAATGACTAAGCCAAAGAATTCAGTTCCTTTAACATTTGGTACTGTCTCTGGGCAATACTGTACTCGTTTAACATATAGCACTCCACTCCCAACTCGATTGCAAGTTCCGGCTCGGGGGCTTAATTGATTTTTCGCTCGGCGTTCAAACTTTGCAAAGAAACCCTTTTGGTTTTTTTTTGCAAAACAAACTTTTGATTTATGTGCGCAAATTTTACGCTCGGCGAACGTGGCGTATGCGTAATTACGACCACTTGGCACAAAAGTTTCGAGGGCCCGAGCGCTTGCTAATTAATTGGGCTTCGACGCAGCTGCCGAAAGGTGAAAGAATAGCCCACAGAAAGGTGCAAATGAGTCAAGTGGCAAAATCTGAGCTGGCAGCCCCACTCGCTCCCATCTACACGCATAATGTATGCGACTGTGTGTACGTGATGGGCATGCCGAGCGAAGTCAAGAAAGGACACGCCCCCTTCGGCATCGAAATAAAACAGTTTGGCACCATTTTTCAAAGCCAAATACACGCATGGAGCTTTCTGTGTGTGTTTTGGCCAGGTAATTAGATGTGGATGGGGGGCGTCGGCCATATAGGGTGTGAGTTATCTGCCAGACGCCTCAAGTGTTGAAAATTGGGCAAATTTATGTTGGCCTGCTTAACGTGAGTGTGTGCCCTTGGTCCAGACATAAATTCCATGAAATGCCTACAACGTGCGACCTTGAAGATTCCAGGTATCTGGGCCAGATTAAATGTGCCACAACTCAAGGAACTAGTAGCATATCTTTGGCAGTATAATTTTTTTCTAATTAATTTTTTCAATTCTTTAAAAGATTTTATAGGGATTTTTTAGGGATGGAAAAGTGGAAAAGGACCAAATCTTTGCCAATAATTTTTCGATCCCTGAAAGGAATACCGTAACCGATTTATAGATGGATTCCGCACCAATCTGCATTATCATCTGCATTAAGCACAAAATATATTTTCGATTTTATGTGAATTCTTTTGGAGGATCCCTTTCAAAAATGGGGAAATCGCATGAAAAGAAAATGTGGATCCCCGTGAAAGCTTCATTTTTGTTAATAATTAATTGAATAAATAAACCATTTTTAGATTTATTCTTTTTAATAGTATATTCGTGCTTTATTTATAGCTAATATGCTTCAACTATGCACCATCTATGCCTGTGCCAATGGCACCCTTGGCTTGAACTTGAGTCGTGCCCCCTGGGACCCGTACCCGTGGGTCAGCGGGGTGCAGGAAAAGTCAAGTGCGGAGCGGGGAGGTGTTCGAATGGGTGATACGCTCCTGGAGCTGAACGGAGCCGATGTTCTCGGCCTAAGGATCAGCGAGCTGGCCAGCCGGCTGCAGGAGCACTGGCAGAGCGGGGCGGAGCACGTGACGATGACAATGTGGCGTCAACAGGCGACCAGTTCT